GGAATATTAAAAGTGATAATTGGAATCGAATTATCACTTTCGTGCTCCCGGCAGCTTCCAGGAGCTGCCCGGAGCTTCCAGCAAAGCGTCCCGGGAGCTTCCCGGAGGCTTGCAGGAGATCCGCAATACTAAAAGTGAAAATTGGAATCGAATTATCATTTTCGTGCTCCTGGCAGCTTCTATAAGGTTTTCAGGAGCTTCCAGAAAGCGTCCCGGAAGCTTCCAGGAGGAGCCGGATCCCGGCAGCTTCTAGGAGCTTAGGTTCCAGAAAGCGTCCCGGACGGTTTTACACTTTCGTGCTCCCGGCAGCTTTGAGGAGCTTTCCGCGAGCTTCCAGAAACAGGAGGAGCCGGAATATTAAAAGTGACAATTGGAATCAAATTACAACTTTCGTGCTCCCGGCAGCTTCCAGGAGCTTTTCGGGAGCTTCCAGAAAGCGCCCCCAGGAGGAGCCGGTGATAATTGGAGTCGAATTATCATTTTCGTGCTCCCGGCAGCTTCTAGAAGCTTCCCGGAAAGCGTCCCGGGAGCTTCCCGGAGGCTTCCAGGAGGATCCGGAATACTAAAAGCGACAATTGGAATCGAATTATCACTTACGTACTCCTGGCAGCTTCCAGGAGCTTCCCGGAGAGCTTCCCGGAGGCTTGAGGAGGATCCGGAATATTAAAATTGGAACGAATTATCACTTTCGTGCTCCCGGCAGTTTGCAGAGCTTTGCGGGAGCTTCCAGAAAGCGTCCCGGAAGCTTCCAGGAGGATCCGGAATACTAAAAGTGATAATTGGAATCGAATTGACACTTTCGTGCTCCCGGCGCTTTGAGGAGCTTTCCGCGAGCTTCCAGAAACAGGAGGAGCCGGAATATTAAAAGTGACAATTGGAATCAAATTATCACTTTCGTGCTCCCGGCAGCTTCCAAGAGCTTTTCGGGAGCTTCCAGAAAGCGCCCCCAGGAGCCGGAACTAAAAGTGATAATTGGAGTCGAATTATCATTTTCGTGCTCCCGGCAGCTTCTAGGAGCTTCCCGGAAAGCGTCCCGGGAGCTTCCCGGAGGCTTCCAGGAGGATCCGGAATACTAAAAGTGACAATTGGAATCGAATTATCACTTTCGTGCTCCTGGCAGCTTCCAGGACCTTCCTGGAGAGCTTCCCGGAGGCTTGAGGAGGATCCGGAATATTAAAATTGGAATCGAATTATCACTTTCGTGCTCCCGGCAGTTTGCAGAGCTTTGCGGGAGCTTCCAGAAAGCGTCCCGGAAGCTTCCAGGAGGAGCCGCCGGAATACTAAAAGTGATAATTGAAATCGAATTATCATTTTCGTGCTCCCGGCAGCTTCCTTCCAGGAGCTGCCCGGGAGCTTCCAGGAAAGCGTCCCGGGAGCTTCCCGGAGGCTTCCAGGAGATCCGCAATACTAAAAGTGATAATTGGAATCATTTTCGTGCTCCTGGCAGCTTCTATAAGCTTCCCGGGAGCTTCCAGAAAGCGTCCCGGAAGCTTCCGGAAGACTAAAAGTGATAATTGGAATCGAATTCTCACTTTCGTGCTCTCGGCAGCTTCCAGGAGCTTCCCGGGAGCTTCCAGGAAAGCGTTCCGGAATCTTCCTGCAGCTTCCCGGAGCTTCCAGGAGTGATTTATATTCTGGGAAGTTAGTCGTGTCTACCGCTAATCTTGTCGCAGCTGAAGCTTGTCGTGGTTACCGCTCAGGTGCTGTCGCGGTTACCCCTGAGGACTTAGTCGCGGTTACCACGGGGTCTCTCATCGGTTTGTCTAAGCCGTTTTAAAGCTCCCATTCACTTACGCCAGTACTTTCACCCAGCAGCGCTCGCCAGGGACACGCTCGTGAGCCGGGTTTCGCCGCTCGACGGTTGGCCCACACGGCAGCACAGATTTCTCATGTGTTGAGACGCCATATTGGCATGTGCATGGTGGTGAGATCCGTTTTAGCAGCAGGCACCTAAGAAACCCTGGAATGGTTCGATCACCCTGGAATGGTTTTGGTTTTGCTGTAAAATGCCAAGCGACGTCATGGTTTCCACGATGGTGTGCAAGTAGTGCAGGACAATCGTCCACTCACAGAAGGTAACCTGACATTGGGGTCGCTTCAAAGAGCCAAACCTGTCAGGCAGTCTTTGGGAAGCCCTTTTGGTTGTATCACGGAAGTGGATTCCATTTCCCACAGCCCTGGACAGGAGGATTCAACTCAGCAAGTCCCGAACCCCCCCCCCCCCCCAGACACCCAAATGCCCCATGATGGGCCTGCGGGGCCAACGTATCTCGAGCTCGCCGCAAAGTTCGCCACAAGAGCCTCGTGGAGAAATGAACTGCCCGGGCTGTTCAAAGGCATTCCTATGCCCTGAGATTGATGCCATGCACCTATGGGAGTGAACAAAACTCGTACAACCCGAAAATGATCTAAAAGGGAAGGGGAAGGACCAGCTTGGCTTGCACTTAATATTGGTACTTCCGGTTCAACCCCCACTCGATTCATTGTGTGTGAGACCTTCTTCCAAATTAATCCGCGAGGTCAATTAAGTCGTTCTGAATGGGACCTTGCCCAAAGGAAGCTTATTTTCTACAGGGTACCCAGATGATGATGGGTCTCTCATTTACGACAGAGGCGATCCCAGTTACCAGTATAGTACGTCACCCTTCACCATTTCCATTTGGTTTTTGAAGGGTGGTTCCCTTACAACAAATGGATCCACCTGTAGCACAGAGAGGATCACTCAAATGTTGGATTAATCTTTAAGTTCGATGAATCCGGGGTCGACATGTGGAGGAGAGGGCTTTTGGAGGAGGATCTGCCGATCCTGCCACTTTGGACAGCCCGGAATTCTCTCCAATCATGGAGTAATGCAGCGGGTGGTCCCCAGAATCAGCCACCGCCTTCTGCAAGGTATTTCCCACTCCCTGATTCCTTCGCTTTCTACTTCTTAGGACGATCATTTTAGTGCTAAACAAACAGTTTGGACTCTTTTCGCCCATCCATTCAGGACATGAGGCTTGCAGGATGTTTTGCTGGAAGCCGTTATTGGTGGAAGCATTCAGGGTTTGCCAGAACTTGCTCGACGCTTCCATGATACGAGGGGAATGACCTGGCTGTTGCCAAGGGCCTTGGGAACTCGAGGAACCCATGACTCTGCGCCAAAAACGTTTCAAGCAGCAAGAAAGCCCGAGCAGCATTCTGGCAAAAGTATCACTTGGAAGCCCTTTGAACCTTGCGACAATCTAGCGGTTGATTCCTTGTCCATTCTTTTCAGCCATCGTTCTTTTCAAAAACCAGCCATTTCCCCAGATTTGTTGGTGGTTTTCCAGAGAGAAGGATCCATGGAAAGAATGGGGCAGCTACCCCTAGAGATAAGCCTACAACTGGAAGCGGATTTTGTCCAGGACCTCATCTTCCCAGCAGTGTGCCTCCTTTTCTGAGGCCCCTGGCAACCCGAGCGCCCCCCAAATTCCCAAACGCACGCGCAAGCGGAAGAAAACGTGGCCGATGTCAGGGATCCGTGCGAAAAGCTGGTTCCCTGTTGTTAAGTTGACAAGCTTCAGAAGATTTGACTACTTCTACAGTTTTTTCCCCCCAACAAGAAAAAGGCAAAGGAAACTCATTTTGGAAAATGGGCTCCTTTGGGGTTCCGTCCGTTAACTTGATTAGGAGTACCAAAAGATTGAACTTGGGCGCTCAGCAGGTCACTGCCTGCAGAAGGCCATGCCACATAAGGCACAACTTGATTTGGGATCATGGAAACCGAGTAAGCAGAACCAGGTTGACTTCTTGAGGGGGAACACCCCCCCAAATAGGCCAGGTTCTACTTAGATCCGGGGTCAACATTCTTTGTCAAAATCGGAGCCTCGTTGCGGGGCACACAGACACGCATGGTTTGTGAAGCTTTTTCACAGAACAACATGGATGTGTGTTTCCCGCAAGGTGCTTGGCTCTTGAGCCACGCGACACAGTTTGGGTCCGCTGTTTCGGTTTCCTCCTGAAGTTTTCCCCGTGTTCTTCATTGTTGAACACTCAGACAGCCGCCCACTGAGAACGCTTGGGACCTTCGTTTCCGGGCATGGGTCAACAAGGAACACTTGGTTGTTCGGCCAAGTTAGTGAGTGGTTTGCCAGCCCACTAAGAATGCGGTAGACTCTACTTTGAGGCGCTTTTGAGTGGGTGGTAACCTGGGATGCCAACAACTTGCTAACTTGGCCGAACAGTAGGGGCACCGGTTCTCCCAGTCATGGCTGTCAATTATCTCAGTTACCCCGTTACTGCAGTTCTTCCAGGCACCCCAGTTATCCCAGTTATCCGCCCAGGATCAACAAGCCGGATGAGATCGGGGGTATCCCACCTAAGAGGGGATCCGGATCGATCCGGATCACTTTTCTGCGATGTACTGCCCTCAGAGGGTTAGCCCCTATGGCAACCCTGGATCAACCTGGAACCTCAAAGGTTGCGAATCATTTCTTGAACCGAACCCCCCTGTTGAATCCTTGAGACCCATCAGAACAGCCCGAAATTCAGCAGAACCTTCAGAAGGGGCCGGGTCCGTTTCTAGTTCTGATACCAACTAAACGTGCTTTGAGAACTCTCCCAGCAATTTGCGCGTGGCCCTCCACGGACGGGTTAAAACCGGTCCCCCAGGTTTCAGAGGACCAGTTTAGGACATGGACCGATGTTTGTGCGTATTTGGTGTGGCTCGTTTTTGAGGGTCCCCCTTAAAGCCTTGTTTCTCAGCAGGACACCCAAAATGCAAATCACCAATGGTTGCTTTTAAGCTGGCAACAAAGCAGGAGGACCACACGAGTTTGTGATGTCTAAGTTGGAATCCAAGAGGACAACCACCATTCTTTATTCTTGTCAGGTTTGAAACCAAGCCAACCACCCAATTTTCGGGTGGTCCCCTTAAAACAAGGAAAAACAGCAAACAGAAACAGCCTCCTGATAAAAAAAAGAAGACGACCAGCGCCCCCCAAGCCCTTGGGAGCTCTCCCAAAGCGGCCCAGCGGAAGGCCCTGGAGCTGTGCCGCTTCCGCGCCTCCGCGGCGGTGCTGCGCTGGAGCTACACCAAGGAGGGCCAGGCGGCGCCTGCGCGACGGATGGATTCGCGCGGCGGATGCGCGCGAGGGATGCCAGGGAACAGTTTTGGGGGGAGTGTTCCAAGAAATAATTGGTTGGAAGAGGAAAACACCCATGAAGGGGCGTTGCATCCGCGGATGCGCGACAGATGCGGGACGCGTGGAGAGTCGAACTCCGAGAGAGAGCCTCAAAACCGACTGGTGCGCGCGAAATCGCGAAATCGCTACAAAATGACAACGGGGCCAGGTTTTGGCAATGCTTGTTGGTGCTCAAAACCGGGGAAGCGGTTAGGGGTCTCAGTGAGCAATCAAGTTGGAGTTGGGGAATGAACTATTTTGGGGAATTGCCTGAAGTAAAGGAAACTATAGGACTGACGGTTGGTCTTGGGGTCATTCCCTCGAAAACCTTGGCTCCCGGCCATCCGTTTCAACTTAGTGTGTTAGATCTTTTTAATTGGTTTAGTGGCAGTTCCCAAATTTATCCCACAAGTGAAACTTTTGGCAGAGGATCTGAGGGCAGCCCAGAAACAAATGTCGAGGCCGTGTTTTAAGCCTCAGAACTACCACCAACCTGCGCGGGTGCCGCTGGGCGCTGTTCGCTCGATTCCGAATCGCGATCGGCTGGTTCGACAGATTCGAATCCACGTGGGGGGGTTTGGGGGATCTAGGAAAAGAAATCATGATTGAAACCACAACGATTGTGTTGGTATTTCTGTTGGGGAATCGAATCATTCCAGGGTTTCTCAGGTGGTGCGAAATGGATGTCGTCCATCCACAGTAGGCCACAGTAAAGGATGGTTTGGTTCGCGGTTTTGGGGTGCTGTGTTCAGGGACTAAAGAGTCACTTTTTGGGGTTGGAGCATAGTAGCAAAGAAACACAGTGTGGCTACTTGTTTGGCCAGTCCACTCAGGAAGCGAGTTCAGTACTCGATGGTTTCTTGGCGGCTCCCAGCCATCCCAGAGGATCCGAGGGGAGCCCAGGGAAGATCCTCATAAAGGAAACAAGGGATGGTTCAGTTCCGGGTTGCATACTGATTTCAATGGGGTGGTCCAGTCACCGGGTTTCGCAGGGGTTATAGTACGGCGAAAAGGGGTTGCTTGCAACGAGATGTGTCGAATCAACCACCTACCTTTTAAGGGGAAACCACAAGGAACCCTCAATCTCACCCAAACTCGGAAGTGTTAGTGATGGTTGGAACCTGTGGAATCTCAATATGTGCTTGTCTTTTTGAGGCAACCCCCTTTTGTTGTTGATTATTTTTAAAAGGGACCATCATTTTGACGGCTCCAACCCGAAAAAAGACGAGCCACCCGTAGATCCAACCCCCCAAAACCCCCCTAGCAGCGAGGCTCTGGACTGCTTCGAGCCGCTGGAGGAGGTGCCCACACACCTCTCCTCGCTGCAGGACTTCTCGTCTCAAGCGCTCGGGGGCCTCGGGGTTCTCGGGGCGCTCGTGACGCGCGCGCTTTTTCGTTGCGGGCTTCGAGGGATGCGAAATCCCGCATCACTTTGAAACCCCCAAGACGACTTCAGAACTTCATAGCAAAATCCCTTGGTATCAGAGAAAGTGAGCCCTGTGGATGGTTGCGAAATCCGGTCGAACGAAATGAAACCATGGGAATGAAGGCAGGCACCGTCGGTATTTACAGGGGAATCCAATCAGAAACCAGGGTTTCTTAGGTGGATTTCGTCCATCCACAGTGGGGTGTTCCTCAAAAGTTCGGGGGGACCAAAGCATGCAAGTCGACCGGTGGGCATATATCTTACTGGTTCTCAGTAGGAAATCAACCCGGGTTTTGGGAATGCATCTAATGCTGCGAAAGAATGTGTTCAGAAACCCTGGCTTCTGATTGGATTCCCCTGCAATTATGAGCAACCGTTTTGGTTTCAACCATGGTTTCATTTCGTGGTGCGAGATAGTTTTCGTCCATCCACAGTAGCGACCCAAACACAGCGCAGGTGTCCTTTTGCTTTCCCTTTAAACCAACCCCAAACGGGTACCCTCCAAAGCAAAGAGTCAGACCGCTTGGGGTTAGTTAGGGTCGTGAACTTCAAAATAGGCGGGTGTCAGATAACCTGGAAGATGCCGATCGGCACCACCTGAAGCTATTTATCCGAACTTGTGCAACATCCAAAATACGGGAGTCGGAGAAGCTGCTGAGATTGAAGGGTGAAAGCACCCTGTTGCTTGGCTACTGTCTCTTTCGGAAATGGGACAAGCATGTATTGGCTGGCTACGAAGGGAGCCATGAGCCTCTGACTCTATGACCATCATCATAGGTTTGGTCCATGAGTACCCCATATTTAGACGTCCCACAAAATTCCCGGGGATACTCTAATTTGTCGATGTCCTCCTGTGTAAATGCATACTCTGCGCGTGGCTCATATATTATGAGCTGACAAAACTGATTCAGAGAAACGTTGCGGGTGGTAAACGGGTTATGTATGGGTTTTGTCTCAAAATAGGAATCGGACGCCTCCAAACTTTCTTCGGTGTCCTTTTGGTTTCCCTTTAAAAACAACAACAAAAGCAACCCAAAAAGGGTAGCCTCAAAAAAGGGACCACACGTAAGCGGCTTTTCCACTAAACTTGGGGAAACTTTGTATTGATGGTCATCAGCCCTTGAGTAGGGAATTTGACAAGCAGTATTGAGGGTTCCTGCTAATGGAGCTATGAACATGGCCACAAGGAGCGCCACATGGCGGTTTCTGTTCAGAAAAGAGGGTTCTCTCTAGCAGCCACCCATTTCCCCAGCGGATTAGCACATGTCAGTCGAAGAGAGAGATCCCTGGAGAAGAATGGAATTGGAAGGTGCATCTAGAAGTATCGCAGAACGGCATTTCCTCCAAGCCTGTAGATGTTTTGGGTGTCTTCGCAGAAGGTCGAGGGTCTGGACCCCCACCCCCGAGGCTTCTCCAGGGGACCATGCCTTCTCAATGCTTAGATCCCTGCTAAACGGCGCTATACCCAGACATGAACTTACTTAATGATTGCTGTCCCAGCTGCCCCCCCCCCCGCCTCACACGAAGGTTCAATGCACTGAGTACTCTTTCTCAGCACGGTTTCACAAGCAATCTGGGCCCCTGGGACTGGAAATGGCACCCTGTTGTTTTCCCTGTGGTCAAAAACCAGCTAGGATCCCAAGAAATCAAACAGGGGACCTGATCAGGCCGACGCAGAACCGGTTGGGGGGAACCGCCCGCAAAAAGAAAAGAAGAAACAACATCTGAGAAGGCACGATACCCCGGGGAAAAGCCGATGTGCGTTTTTACTGTAAGGTGCCTCATTTTTGGCCATAGGCTTTTCCCTAAGTGGACAGTGCCTTCTCGATTTGTTCTTTTAAAGAAAGGAAAAACATGAGCGAGCACGCAAAAGTTGGGGAAGCACGCAAACCCGGACAAGGCCCGCAAAACCCAGAGAAGGCCCGCAAAACCCGGAGAAGGCCCGCAAAACCCGGAGAAGGCCCACAAAACCAGGAGAAGGCCCGCAAAATCTGCAGAAGGTCCGGAAAATATCCGAGTCAGTGTTGTTTGGCGATGTGCGACGTGCAAATCCGCATCCATGGCTGATGGTGATGCCTGTGCAGCTGCTGATGCTGGTGATGCCTTTGATGCTGGTGATGCCTTTTTTTGGGAGGGGAATTACCTGGACCCTCAAACCGCCCATGAAAAGCAGGGAATCCATCCCATTTTTTGGTGGGGGGGGGGCAGCCCGTTTTTGAGTTGGGACTTTGGAGGGTCCAGGTCCCCCCCCGCTACAGGGGGGAGCCAACCGGAGCTTAAAAGGAGCTGGCCATGTGGCTGGACGAGTCCGCCGAGCGCCGGGAAGCTCGGAGCTGACCTATCGGAGGTGTGGCTTTGTCAAACTGGGTGTGTCTTGTTTTGGGGGTGTTGCAGCTTAGGTGGGGGTTCCGGGGCCGTTGGGGGATGCTTTGGGGAAAGTTTGGGTGGACATCATGTATTAGAATTCAGAATTCGCCAAATGGGCGTGCCTTTCTTTAGGCTGGACCCCTCAAAATGGTGGGTTTCCTCCTGGAACCAGCGGGCGAGCATCATGTGGGGTTCACCCGCATATCGCAACCATTTACCAGCAGTCACCCACAAAGTCCTTGTAGATTGCAGTAAGCTGCATGGCTTCCATGATTTCCTTACTTGCAAGAACATCTCGGGCATCCATCGTTACGACGTAGCAGAGGGGGAGGGGCCTGTTAGTTGCGGAGGCTAGGAATTTGATGCTCATCCCGAAAGTCGTGTGGTATTCGTTCCATGCAAGGGAGGTGCTCTTTTCCATGTACCCTTTTGGGGTCGGTTCAACGGGAAACCAAAAGGAAGACCACCAATTTGTGGGGTCTCCTGTCAGGGGTGTCCCGGGTCTGGGATCCTATTTTGACACACAGGGCTCAAGAGCCTGGCCCAGATATTCCACGGCCATGCTTCCCAGGCGTTTGGGGCTTCGTCGGATTTCATGTTAAAGTATCCTTTTAAAGGGGGAACCAAATTCAAAACAGGCCCCTGGCACCTGCGTAGCCACACCGATTTTGCCGAGAACAGCAGGAGCCCAGGTGAAAAACCACCTTCTTTCTGGGTTCGGAGCGAATCTAAATGCAAGACTTGCGTGAAAACAATGATTCCGTCTGCTGCCCAGTCCCTACGTGCAACACTCGGGCGCATCCTTTTTGGGGCACCAGACTGCGGATGGACAAATCAATTGCGCACCACCTAAGAAACCCTGGAATGATCAACGTAAATGCCCACAAACGTACTGGATTCAACCATAGCTTCGTGGTAGTGCGGTTTTTAGTTTCTAATCCATTTGGGATGATTCAATGCTAGACACAAGCGGCGGACCGGGCAAGGATGAACCCCCTGAACTTGTTGCACATCCAATTCAATCCACAGTTGAAACAACGATCGGGTTCATAGAACCACCACGGTTTACCTAAGGATCGTCGTCCAAATTGGGCCCCAAGGCCATGCTTTTAATTGGGGCGAGGAATTTCTAGGGCTCACTGCGAACGAAGGGAACAGATGCGCAAAGGCGCCCGTGCAAATACCCTGGGTGCATGTCTATATTCTCTACCTATCGCACCGATCGCAAGTGTTTGGTTCCATCGCTATGGATTCCCACGTGAGCCACCATCAACACCCGGGTAGATGAAGGTTAGTAAGGGCCAATCATAGCTGCGGCCGCCTTCTCAATTCTTTACCTGGTTCTGGGTTCACCATTTTAGTACCGGGTTTTGATTGTGGCTCACGTGGATGTTCATTAACATAGGTGGCAAATGGATGTTCATCCACCCCAAAATGGGATCGCCATAGGTTATGCACCCCATGGCCAAATGGCTGTGGGTCAAAACCAATGGTACCATTTTTGGGGTGGGTGTGCCACCCATTTTAGTCAATTTTAGTGGGGATTGGGATGTTCACGGGGGGTACGATTTGGATTTTGACCCATGGCCGTGTTCAGTGGAACTCCTCGAAGCTGAAGGCGTGGCCTCGGTGGCGCCCACGGGCGCCGAGCTTGAGTCCTCGGAGGTGAAGGAGGAGGCGGAAGTGAGCTTCATGGCCGAGGAGCGCCGCGGAAAAAGCGGGGGGGGGGGGGGGGATGAAGCGGGTTTGGTATACTTTTTTTTGGGGTGGGTGGGTGTTTTTCAGGGAAACGAGGGGAGCAAGCGGGTTGGTCTACTTTATTGGTTGGGTGGTTTTGCAGGGAAATTTGGAAGGGTGGGACCAAGGAAGACTAAAAAAGAAGGCGTTGAGTCGTTGAGCAACCGAGGTTTAGGGCTGACGTGTTGGTGCCCTCAAGGGAAGCCACAGGAGGACGTCCTCTTGCGTTGGGTGGGGCTGTTCGGTTCCGGGTCATGGCAACCTGAGGGAAGGGAAGTCGCCACCACGAAATGAGTTGCCATGGCAATGAAACCATCGCGTTTGTTGGGTATTTACGTTGCGGAATCTAATCATTCCAAGGTTTCTGAACGGTGCGAAATGGATCTTTTCCATCTATAATCCACAGTTGTTTGGCACTGTGAACGAACTGGACATGGCGCGCAAATAGGGGCGCGATTGCGTGACGCGTGCAAAGTGCCCACCCTCCAGATATATCAATTATATAAAATTCCCGGCAGCTTAACGGGCATCCTTTCCATTTAGTGTTCCAGGGGCTCAAATTGAACCTCCGATTTTTGGTCCATTTGCTTACGCTTATCTGTAAGGGGAATCTATCAGCATCATTTTTATTTTCGTGGGGCTTGAAGCCAACGATCTCCAGCGATATCCACCGCACGCTTCCAAGCGAGACAGGACAGCTCGCTCATGGAGGCTTGGGATCGGATTTGGGGATGAGGGATCCCAGTTCACTCTGTGGTTGACAGACCGGTGAATTAGTTTTTGTTTTTTTTGGTTTAGTGGTTCAGCTTCCAAATTGAACCCACTCAAAGTAAAAGTTTTAGCAGTGGATTTGAGGACGGCCCAGTTCAGCAAAGCCCTTGGTCCCTTTTTGTTTTGCAGGGTTCCCCACGTCAACCCCAAGGGTTTCCCTTTTCCACGATCACTGGTCACCAGGGATTTTGTCGCAGAGATTCGCGAATTAGATGCCGCCAGAATGCTGGCCTGCTGTGGGTGGGGATGCCATCTCCTTCTCTCCTTCACGAATGCAAGCAAAGAACGCAAAGATATGCTTTTGTGCTGAGATCCTCGACAGCAGCAGTAACAAAACTACTCATATCGGTTTTCTATTACCGGCGCTAGCGACACCGGCATCACTAGCAGCAGAAGCTGCAGCAACAGCAACAATAACGACGAAACGAGCAGCCTTCGGTGGGACCCCTCATCCTTTGCTGACCGGTCCTGATTGAACCCTCTCACAGACATGCACATGATTCACCTGTGTGTTTCTTGTGAAAATTGTCACAAGGTCTTCTTAAGGGCTTAATAAGGGCTTCTTTGGCCCCTCCCCCAGCCCCCACGAAATTGTGGTGGTGTGATTGTTCAATGCAAGTATACATTTTAGATCACGTACGTGTGGGTAGGTGTCTAAATTCATAGGTTAGTTAACCCCCCTCCGTATCCCCCCCTCAAATGTGATTTTGAGTGGCATCGGGTCCAAAAATGAAGAAACATTTTCATTTTGAATCTTGGGCTTATTGGGGCTTAGTAGGGATTAGTAGGGCTTAGTAGGCCTTAGTAAGGCTTAGTAAGGCTCAATCATGTTTTTTGCTTCGAGTGCTAGCAAGGCTCAGCAGCTCTCAGTAAGACATGGCCACTCAAAATTGATCATGAGTGTTACTGAGTCTTGCTGAGTAGTTGGAAGCGTAATGATTCCTATGGGTGCTGTCATTTTCTTAGCGGTCATTTGTGCTGGAACTGCGCCGCGCACTGAACGCCTGGGAATTGAACATCAGCGGATGCAGACCTAGTAGCACTCAAAGGCACTCAATAGCAATCAGCAAGCGCTCACTAGCGTTCAGAAAGCACTCAGTAGCAGACAAAAGGCACTCGGCAGCACTCAGCACCACTCAGCAGCACTCAGTAACACTCAGTAGCACTCAGTAACACTCAGCAACACTCAGCAACACTCAGTAGCACTCAGTAACACTCAGTAAGACTCAGTAACACTCAGTAACACTCAGTAACACTCAGTAGCACTCAATCACAAGCTAAAACAGAATCCCGGCTCAAGTATGCACACTCAGCAGTGGCACCCAGGATCTCTCAATCACCCCCCCCAGAACACAGCACATGGGCGATCCAGGCTCAGCAACTATTTAGTAGCACGCAATGACGCTTCGAGCCCCGGGCAGGCTTCAACAAATCCAGCTTGGCTATTGGCTATGCAAAACTGAAAGCAACCTCCCCCCCCCCCACACATGCCACATCCTTGCTGGGCTCAGTAGTGCTCAGCAACACTCGGTGAGTCTTACTGAGATTTTGACATTTGGGAGGGGGGGGATACGGGGGGGGTTAACTAACCTATGATAAATAGGGAACCTCCCAACATGGTGTCTTGTTACCCTTCAAAGTTGCAAAGTGTAACCTTTACAACAGGAAGCCTACCTGATGAATAGAACCCACTTCGCACCACTTGGGATCGAGAAAGCTCTATGCATGGGCTCTCACTCCTTGAGTTCCTGCACTTTAAGCTTTTTGGGAAGGCCATCTTAGTGGTACATAAGAAGTTTTTTGTTTTTGAAGTGAGGGACAAGAAACCAATCCCAACTGGTGCGACATGGACTTTGTCCATCCACATATCCCTCTGCCTTTTCTTGTGGCAGCGCGCCGGGACATCCCTTCCGCCTTTTTCTGCCGCGAGGCTAGTCTTACTTCCGTTTTGGGGGCCCCAGGACATATCCTGAAGCGGAGATCCAAAGTGTTTGCGCTGGCTGGCTGATTTTTGGGGGACAAGCACATGAGCAGGAGTTTCTTATATTGATTTTACCACAACACAACAAGCAATTGGCAAACGAGCAAACGAGAGTTTGTTGGCAGCAGCCAGCTGAGCTTTCGAGGATGGCACATTTTGCCTGCATCAACCAGATTAGGTGACCTTTATTTTGACAACCCAACGTGTTTCATGCACCACGATGAAATTACAGCTCACGGGGCAAAATCATGCACTATGTGATTCCAGTGTTAGTTTCTCGATTTGCACCATCTTGCATTTTTTTCTGGCGCTATGCTGTATTTGCAAATGGCTAGAACCCCTACGAATACTGGTTGTTCACCCACCAGTCTTCGCTGGCGACGATCGGCGTGGACCCACTATTTACTGTGGTTTCTAAGGGTGTGTTTTAAGGTGGGTCACTAACCACTTTCACTCCTCCATCTACACCAGGGTGACAGCAGGCACACTTCTCTTTGGGAGTTGACTAAACCAAACGACTAGGAGAGGTGGGTTACGGGTACCCTCTCACCCAGTAACATGGAACCTGACTGAGCTCAAAAGGACAACGATCCTCCAGCACCTCCTGTTAGGTTCCATGCGAATTGGTGGGGTGCGGTAGATATCGCCACGGTTCTAGCCGGTTTCCGACCAAATGTCACTCGGCTTGCTTGCCAGAGCGTGGGCGGCGTCAACGAGGGGCCCAAGAACTTGGAGCTCATTGCGGCCATCCAAGGCGAGGATGCGCACACCGGGCCATGCGCCACGACTGCGAACACGCGTTTTGGCGCTCGTTTTGGCGTTTTGGGCCGAGGTTCTGCGCGTTTGGGCGATCGTTTTGGGCGGTTTTGGGCCGGTGGTTTGGTTATGGTGGGGTGGCACCCGACTTGTTTGTTGTTCCCCCTTTTCCATTTGTCCTCAACAGCTGAACGCTATGCCTATGGGGTCTCTGCGGAGGGGTTTGGAGCGGTTCCTATTGGGTTCTTTGAATTCCGGGCCCCGGTTGCTGTTAAGGATACCCGGCCTATCATTTCCTACTTGGGTGTTCAACCCTCCTAAGTAGGTTGCAACCCTCCGGACATCTGAGGCAAGGCCGGGGTGCGGAAATGACTTTGCAACGCCTGAAAAAACTCCAGGCCTATGTTTAAAATTGTCAGGGAAAGCGAATTTTAGGGGAACCTATTGGTTGGTATTTACAGGGAACCAAAAGGAAATTCACCATTTTAGTGGATTTTATTCCAATTTTAATGTTGAGGACTCCTCATCCCTGACAGGATTGCTAATTGGTACTCTAGGGGTACCTCCCCCATTCTTTCCAGGTATCCGAATCTTTCTAGAAAACCTCCAGAAATCCGGGGAAAGCGGCTGGTTTTCGAAAAGAACGATGGTTGAAAAGAATGGGGAAACAACCCCTAGAGGTAGCGGATCTTTGGACTTTAACTTGTTGGTTGAACCAATGGATTGTCCGATCCATTTCCAGATTGACATTGTTTTCTTTTGCAGAGGGGCCAACAGCAACCAAGGTTTGATTGTTGTTTGCCAGCCTCTCCACACGGGAAGTAGGCCATTTTCATTTTGTGGTCCAAGTCTGGTTTGGAGTGGATGACCCCCTTCCGTTTCGCGAAAGAAATGAACACAATTGGTATCCACTTGCTGAAAATCACTTGTGCTTGCGATCCCCCAATTTGAAACGGTCCTACAAACAAAATACCCAGTAAACACAACTATCCTAATCTGGGTTGTTCAAAAACGGGGGCATCCCTATTTTTCCATAGAAAGCAGTGGGGCACTGCAAGGAAAACCGCAAACCGATTGGGATCGCCCGATTTTGCTGGGGACCCTTTTGCGATCTTCTTCGGAAAAGTGGAGGGCATGAGGCTTCTGGTCAAGGCGAAGTGTGGGTGGCACAAAGTAGAAGCTGACCAAGATTCTGAGTTGGCTGCGGCTTGGCTGAGGAGGACCTTGGGAAATAATTAGCAAGCCTCGCTGCAACGGCTTGTTTGTTGCAAGGGACCCTGTTTTTCATGACGTGTAGGTTTGGTGTTGTCTAGGACACACACACAGATATTTTGCTGTCGTTGTTGGTTGGTGTCTGGTTTTTGCAGTGCCATGTTTGTTACACGGATTGTTGCTGTGTATGTAGGGTCCAAGTGCCATAATATGGCAGGGGTGAGAACGGGTTAGGTATTGGGCCTGCAGGTACGTGGGCCTTGCAGAGACGGCCGAACGGGTGCACAGGGACCCTTCTATCAATAGGAGGGGTTGATGAATGCGGGATTAATACTGGAAACGGTCCTACACGCCGTCACACATTGACACAAACAAACACAACTACCCTCCCTCCCACTAACATGGCAACTGACAGGGGGAATTCAATCTTCCAGGTACCTCCTCCGCACAGGTGTCATGTTAGTTGGAGGAAGGGTATCCCACTACGTCCCAAAGGCCCAAAGGCTATGGCCCTTTGGGCGCCCGTCCCGCCCCGCCCCTGTCGCCCTCGCTTCTCGTCAGCTGAGCGGCACGGCCTCGGGGCGCGGTGTCGGAAAGTGGCGGCCCGGAAGCCCGGCGGAGGGTGAGGGCCAGCCCCGGGTTTCGTGGGCACGTTTTGATCTTTTCCTGTTGGCCGTGGAATCCATCGCTACTGGAGAGATGTGTTTTGTCCAGGGACTTCATGAAATTGAGGTTGGTCTCTGCGGGAATAGGTTTTCTCTTGGTGGCTCCCAGGAAATTTCCCAGTTTTAGCAGGGGATGCAAGGACAGAGGGTCCCAAAAAGGGATCCGATTCTTTGTCCAACGGATGCGAAGTAACAGGGAAACCGATGCCAATCGGTGGTTTGGATGGTTTGGAATTGGATTTGAACCCCATGGTTCTTGTAGAGGGCAACATGGGTGAATTTCCCTAGGCAATGGGAACCCGTCGATCAACCAGACCCATGTAGAGTCCTTCACTTTGGGAAAACACCCTTGACCTGCATGGTTGACAGGGGGTGATGTGTCTTTTTTGAGGGTACCGAATTTTGCGCTGGCTTTAAAGGAAAACCAGAAGGAACTCCATTTTGGGGATCCCCTAACGAAAAGACACACCCAAATGTTGCATGTAGGGGACAAGGGAAACCCTGCCACAATCAACGTGCAGATTTCTCTGACGGGCCCGAGCTTCCTTTCTCGCCAGTCCTGGACCTACTCGCGGCTGGAGCAGATGCGGAGCCAGTATGACGAGGCCCGCGAACCAGCGCGTTGGCCTTGAACCCCGGGTGAATTTCCGACTCAAAATGCCCCCGCGTCGCCTTTTGGGGGTCCATGTTCTTTGCCTCTTTTATGGTACCCTCTGCGTGCCAACTTCTCACTCAAAAACGTCATTCCTTTTTCGGCTCTTTGGGTCACTGGTTTCAGCCAACCACAAACCCCCAAATCAACCCTAAACCAATCAGTGTTTAGGGTTCTCCATGTTTTCCTTGTTGCTGGTGCTGTCCAGTGTTGGGCCAGATAAAATTGAGTTCCTTTTGGCAAACAGGCACCCTCAATGCAAAGCGCGTGCGGAAATCCGGCTCAAATTGGGTTGCGTTACAGAAGAAGACAGAACGGTTTGCGCAACTTAACCACAATCGTAGCAGGATACAAAGCCCATGTAGGGGGGTTGTATAATTATATTGGCTTGTCTCAAAGTGGCCGACCTTGATCTATTCCATTTTCAACCCGAAAGCCATAGCATTGAAATATTGGTTCCTCTCAAAACAAGCGAAACAAAAACAGGAAGCTGCTTGGGCGGGTGCGAGGGTGCGAGGGTAGCATACGGAGCTCATTACTTACACAATCATGCACACGTCGTTGCGCTGTGATGACGTGGTTTGGTTAGTAAGGTAGTATCCCACAAGCTCATTCCAGAGACTCCCCAATGGCCCCAACGGCAAATTGGTTTGTATTGTGACCTTTTTTGTGCTAGTGTGGGGCCATTCAGAGGCCATGGGTCCAGTTCTACTCGGTGTTAAAAGTAGACGGACCCAACTGGCGTCCCTTGAAAACCGCCCCAAAATCAAAAGCATATCCTCAAAAAGCACAGACGCCCACACGCAATTCTTTCGGCCCCATAATGTCACATGCCAGAGACAAAAAGCTTCCCACCGGACAGATCTTCAAGCGGATGGACGACTGGATCAAGAACCGTGTGAAGGAGGAGAATGAAGCCATCAAGGAGCGGGCGGGAAGCGCGTGTGGCAAAAGAACGAACGAACGAATCCGGGTCTCTGAGCGCTGAGTGTGCGACCCTCAGAGGCGGCCAAATAAAAAGCACAGCAACAACTTGTGTGTGTGTGTGTGTGTGTGTGTCTGTGGGGCTAAAGAGTTAAAACGGGGACTTGGATTCACCGCCTTCCATTTGAGTGGTTTTGCTACCTATTGCAGAAACTCTATGAACAACGTTAATTTTACAACCATACGTACCATAGAAATCCACCAGATCCAAGTATTCATAGGGTTTATTCCAGTATTCATAGGGTTTTATCAAAACTTGGAGCAGGATCTCGTCCATCCACAGCATGCGGGGCTAACTACTATTCAACCAGGTCAAGTCATACTGTGGATGGACAAAATCCTGCACCACCTAAGAAACCCTGGAAGGATGATTCCCCTGTAAATACCAACCAACAATGGTTTCCCATGGTGTCCAAGTGGCGCAGGATTTCGTTCACCCACAGTAGGAAAACGAAGCGTGTAGTTATTCACCTCCGTATGTTTGCTTCTTGGGTGTCCTCCAAATATATTCTATTTTCGCTGAGACCAAGCCCGACGTTTTATACACGCTTCGTCTCCAGTGCAAGAAGTCTGCTGCCGGCTCGAATATTGCGAAGCAAGTGCTCCGCTAAGCTTCTTCTTCCTGGACGGATATTCCGGCCTTGTCTACAATGGATGTTTACCCCTTTTTCATTGCGATGTATGTCTTGGTTTTCTGTCAGTTTTGTTTCACCGAAGTTGGTTGCTGCTGAGGGTAAACAAACACTATACAGGGTAGACTAAATATGGAGCAACGTCGGAGCATAATATTTCCGTGTATCGCAGATGTGGGCCAAGGCTTATAATATGTCATTGACAGTACTGATCTGAGGATTTTTTTAATCATATGCTGGGATCAGGGCGGGAAATCCCGAAATAGTCCGGGAAATAGTCAGGGGATGCTCCGGTGTTGTTCTGCTTCAAGGCTGATTGTATAGGTCCATATATGAACCCATGGCCATTTTGGACCTTTGGAAGTTCCGATAATTCAGCCGTGACAAACGATTGATGAACACATAAACTAGGGCTTCGTACTATATGGACGTACACATTTAAGCCTTTGAGTACTTCTACAGTATTCCATAGTTTAATTAGGGACCAAAGAAACTCTGCTATTTTAGGGGGGCAATGGATGGTGTCTGAGGATGGGTGAAGAGAATAGGGGATCAGCCCGACAGGTTGACAGACCAGACCTCTAGTGTGGTTCTGGCTGGTTTTCTGAACAGAACGGGTGAAGAGAATGAACTTCCATCTTATCAAAGGGTTGGGTAACAGGAATTCTGCAGGAAAACAGCTGATTTAGGGTGTTTTGTGGCCATTTCCTGTAGGTTTTCCTGTAAGCCAAGCCTTTGATCCTAGCTTTTCCGCTTTGATTGAGACTGCTCCAGCGGATCTGGGCATGTGAGAGACCTGGACTAATGGCAAGCTTAGAGGGTAAACCTGCTTCAACCTCTGTTTGGTGCGCTTCCGGTAGGCTCCTGGGGTGCCACCACACGATTTGGCCGCGTGGTCACTGGTGCGCCACAGGCAAACCAACCCACACGCCCGTTTCTCTCTCCTTGCTGTGTACCTTTGGCCTCTGCTCCCTTTGTTCGCCTTGCGGTGGCTGTCGCTGCCGCTGCTTCTGCTGTTGCGGCTGCTACTGCTGTTGCCGGCATTGCCTTTGTCACTGCTGCTGTTGTTGTTGCTGCTGCAGGGTTTTTTTGAGCCTCAGGCTCTTTCCGCCGACCCTGAGGTAGCCATCTTCGACTACGGCTTGGTGACGTTTCTGGGCACGTTCTTTCCCGGCCTTGTGTTCTAGGCGCGTGACTGGCGGGTGCTCTTCTCCCCGCGCCTTCTCTTCCCCTGGCGGCTTTGTGTGTTTCATTGTTTTCTGCGGGTGTGCCAGCCTATGGGGTGCTCCCCAATTGTCTTGCGGGCGCTCGCCTATGGGGTGCTCCCCAATTGTTTTGCGGGCACGGGGTGCTCCTCGCTTGTTTTGTGGGCGCTCACATTCATGGGGTGCCCCCCACTTGCTTTGCGGGCGTGCTCACTGGCGCTCTATGAGGTGCTCCCCGATTGTTTCGCGAGCTTGCTCGCTCATGGGGTGCTCCCCAATTGCTTTCTGCAGGCCACGGGGTGCTCCCCATTGTCCGGGCGATGTACGAGGTGCCCTCCCCGATTGTTTCGCAGGGCCCACAAATGCTTGCGGGCACGCTCGATTAATTATGAGCTCTGGTTTTTCTGCTGCTGGTACCGCGGGCTCCCCCTTTTGCAAGGCAATGACGTTTACGGAGCCTGGGGCGCTCAGCCATTCTGAGCTCCAAGTGGAGGGGGCAATGACGGTTCCGGAGCCCCCTGCGAAGCTGGGAGGGATGGCGCCTTAGGCACTCTCTCTCTCTCTCTCTCTCTCTCTCTCTCCCTCTCTCTCTCTCTCTCTCTGTCTCTCTCTCTCTCTCTCTCTCTCTCTCTGTCTCTCTCTCTCTCTCTCTCTCTCTCTCTCTCTCTCTCTCTCTCTCTCTCTCTCTCTCTCTCTCTCTCTCTCTCTCTCTCTCTCTCTCCCTCCCTCCCCCCACCTCTTTTCGGGCAAGGCTTTGCCCCTAAATCTGTTGCACTTTCCAAACCTGCAAGGCGCCTACCAGAATAAAACGCAATCCCAAAACCCGCCATCTGCCGCGCGTTTTTGTTTTGCTTCATCTGGAGTTGGTATCAACGCGGATGAAAATCGGCAGGAGACGGAGCAGCTGCTGCGCAGCGGACACTGGCAGGATGAGGCGGGAGGTTTTGAGTGAAATCCGGTGGCACTCCAAGGGCTTTGCTGCGAAACCCACTGATTTGTTTTTACTTTTGGTCCATGTTTCCACTTACCAGGGTTCCATGTCGGGTACCTATTTTTGACCCACAGCCAGGCTGTAAGGGTTTAACTAGGCGTTATCATCTCAATTAAACCGTGCAATCGTGTGAATGATGAAATTGTGCACCACCAAAGAAACTCTCAAATGATGATTCCTCCGTAAATACCAACGCAAATAGCAACAGGCAATGGTTTCCCATGATTGGACAAGTGATGCAGAATTTCGCCCATCCACAGTAGAGCCCACTCCAAGGGCCGCTTCCCTTCCTCCAAAGAAGGCACCTGGAGGGTACCTGGATCAGTTTCCTCAGGTGCCATGGTAACGTGGGAGGGAGGGTATACTTGGAGTGGACAGACATATTTCAGCTTCCCGAAAAAGTGTCTCCTTATGCTTTCCTTGTTTCTTCTTGGCTGCTATGCGTTTCGGGCTTTCAAAGCACGCCAAGTGTGCAAACCACAACTTTTGAGGGCTAATTCCAATCATTACACACATTATTCAAGTTACTTGGACTTGAACCCATTGTTCTTGTTGAGGTTTTAGGGGACCCCCGCTTATCCTCAAACCACCGGGCTCCAAACCACCTAAAAAAGTTTCCCGTGACATGATCAGGTAATTTGGTGTCATAGTTTACAACCTGCCCCGTCAGCCTCTTGTTTGGGATTTCGTTTGGATTCGCAACCTGTGCCCAAGTTTGGTTGGGTATCCTGAAACCAACAGGAAGAAAATCGGGTATACAACCACCTTAGAAGCACAATTTGGCTGTGGCTCAAAAAACAAGTACAAAACTGGACACCTTGGTAAATGGAACCAAGACTAAAACCCGCGTAACCTTAGCTTTTTAATGTTGAGCCACACCCATATGGGAAGCTGCATGTGCCCTCGGGTGGCTTGGGTATGTTGTGGCATTGATTGTCCGTATCAGTCGCCAGGAAGAAGGCCGCAGCCTTAGCAGATCCACGACTCTGCGGAAGTCCCACACAGGTCATCTCAAGGCCGAGGGGTTTTTGCGTCGGAATCGAATGAGAGTCGTATTGGTTGCTCCTTGTGTGGGCATTTTTGGGGTAAGGGTCCCTTGTAAGGATATACAACTTTGGGCTTGAGCAAAACACAGGTTTTCTAAGGAACCCTGCGAAAAAAGGGGCACCAAAGGAGAACCTCCCATTCGAGGGCTGACTTATTTTGAAACAGTGGGACCCTCCATTGTCAATGCCTTGTTTGGCGGCAGTTGATTATTTGACCCTGAGGCGTATAACATTTTAAAGAACAGGGGGGCTGGGTTTTGGCTTGTGGTTTGTAGTTGTCGCGCTGCGGCTTGCAGCATGTTCAATAGACATCTTTCTGATTGGATTGTGTAACTGACTTCCGGAGTTCATGAACTTTAAACTTTGTGGGAAGACCATTTTAGTGGTAAATATAAAGTTTGGACTTTTTTTGGGCCATCCACTCAGCCAGTGAGGTAAATAGTTTGCCAATCACCATCCTTCGGTGCCGAGGAGAATGTAGGCCCAAAGGCAGCGAAGCTGGGAGCCGAGCAATCCAGTCACTAAGCAAATCGGGCCAGCAATCCAATCTGCAGGATAAGATTCCATGGGAAGTCCTGAGCCTAGTAGATAACCAGCAATTTTCCGTTTGGTGTTTAAGGAATCTGTTGGTTACCTGTGGATGGACCAAACATTCCGCGCCAGTTCGGTGATGAATCCCATAATTTAGACGTGTTCATCCAGGATGGTGCAGGATTTCGTCCACCCACAGTATTGTTGCTTTCATTTGCTGAAGAAAGTGTTTTATTTTCCACGATTTGGCCAAAACCAACCACTAAGCAAACCCTTTCCCAACCCTAGACCCACCCTGAACCCACAGTTAAAAGCACCAAACTATCCCTAAACCCAGCTTGAAGGGCGCCATCCTTGTCGTGGACGGCTGCGGCATTAATGAAGGAAGGAATCTTCTCCAGAAATGGCATCTTTGAGGTGCATGTGCCGCAACCGGGGCGACCTCGGCGGCGAAGATGTGCGAGGGGAGTCACCCCGTCATCCCTTCCTTTGTTCCCCCTTGCTTCATTCTTTGCTTTCTTCCTTCCTTCTTTGCTTTCTTCCTTCCTTCTTTGCTTCCTTCCTTCCTTCCTTCCTTCCTTCCTTCAATCTTCCATGCCTTGGGCCGTCTCCAGATGGTCCTTACAATTAGTCCCGAAGATCCCACTGTAAGGGCCAAAGAACAGAGGGGGTTTTGCTCGCAAAGTCGAACTCGGGAATCTTTTTGCTTGCCATGCACCATTCGCACAAGTTGTTGCATTTTATCGCTACTGGACATATCTGGAAATATGTTTTTTGTTTTTTCTCAGGGGGCTTCGGCAAATGGAAGATCATACACGGAAATTGAATCACTGGGTAAAGCGATGCACTGCTTCATCCCAAAAACGCCAACCCATGACCGAACGCCAGCCCGCGCTCTCGAGTGCAGCGGGGAAACGACGGCGAGACGTGCTGAAGGCGCGGCCGGAGTGGGGGAATGGTCCGCAGATTTGCCGCCCGGCAAGTAGCATGGGACCGTTCGACGTTCGGGGGGTCCTGGCTTGGACCATTTTCCTTAAGGGACCGGGTTTGCAAGGTTAGATTCAAATTAAATTGGGAGGGTACTCACTTCCAGAGTTCCTGAACTGAAGTCGCTTGGGCTTGGACTATTTTAGTGGCAGACAAAAAGGTTCGGGTACCTTTTTTTGGCCAGTCCCAGGAAGTGACTTGCTGGTTCTCAGCAGGGAATGAGAATTGGAATGACCCCTATGATGCCATCCCATATAATTTCCTTAAGGGAATCTCCTTCCAAAAACCCTACGCACCAGCAAAGTTAATCAGGATTCTTCCGATCCTTTGAGTGTTCGAGTGAAAAAGACACCCAAGGGCCAAGGATTGGCCGAAGGTGGTCCTGTAAACGTTCCCTACTAGTGTTTGGACGTTCATTACATGTTCACGTATGGGTCTGTCTTGAAATAGGGGGTTCCTTTGGGATGATGGCTGAAAGGAAATCAAAAGCAAAGCAACCAATTTTGGGGCGTTCCCAATTTTGGGGCAAACCACCCAAACACCTCCAAACCACTCCCCACCCCAAATCACCTTGGTGGCTCCCAGTCATCCGGTTCCTGAGCTTGGCTTTTTCGTGCTTAGTGGGGGTCTGAGTGGGGGTTTCCATTTGACCCACAAGTTCGTCACTGTTCTCCGTTGTTCAAAGCCGACCTTTTGACCTTTTGGTTTTCCAATTTTGGTCCATAAGTCATGGCCCCAAAAGGTGATCACCTTTTGGTTGCAGGTCCTTTGGGCAACCGAGTTTTAGCCGGGGATCAGAAAGCGGACAGCCCAATTCGGACCTCGATGGCATACGATGTCCTTTCGCCACGGAAGCCTCAAAAGTTGGAGCGACTGCGGGTACCAAGCCCCGCATGAGGCGCCGCCGTGTGATATTCGGGTCTGTCCTCTTTTTGTTTTTACAAAAACAGTAACATTACATCTATATGTTGAATTTGTAAGTTTATTCTAGGGGGAACCCTTTCGGTAGGTTTTAAAGGGAAACCAAACAAAACAACTCCACGTTTTTGGGGGGAGGGGAACCTTTTTGGGGCTCCGATTCCTAGAGAAAGGAAAGGGCGATATCTGAAATCTGATTGTCAGGTCATCGTCCCAAAGACGCTGGACGTGGATGTGTACTCTCCTCCGGAGCTCTTTGTCCATGTCTCAGAGCCGAGGAGAGAGAGACGCCGTGCTGTGGATGGACGCGAAATCCGTTTGGCAACGAGATGAAACCATGGTTGAGACCATTGTTAGTTGGTGATTCCAACCTTAGGTTTTTAGAGGTTTCTAGGGTTTACTGGGAGTTTCCAGTTAACCCACTAAAGGTTAAACTTTTTGCAGGGGATCTGAGGACAGCCCAGTGTTTGTTGGTATTACAGTGGGAATCGAATCATAGGGTTTCTGAACGGTCAAAATGGATTTTGTCCGTTGAATCCACACTGGTTTAGATTGGTTTCAGCCATTTGCCAGAGAAACCCATCGATTTTGCCAAACCCATGGACCTGATGTGATGTTGGGTTTTGGGAACCCGGACTAAGGAAAAAACCAACAACTTTGTATGGGTTGCCACAATGCCGGGGGGAGGGGGGAAGCCCACAGTGCAGACTCCTTCACAAAATGAGTTCCAGGACTTTTGGATTTTGGCAAGTGTTCCGCCCTTTGTCATAATCTCACTCGAGTGCAAAACGAGCTCGCCGCGATGCAGGTCCCTTCTTTGGGAATCCGATTCTTAGTTCAGATGCGTGCAATGAAACATGTTGCAGATTGAAGCGGCTTCCTGTTGATTCATAGGGGGTGCCCCGTGTTATTTCTAGAGTCCGGGTCACTTTTGGGGAATCACTTCCAGGGTGTTGGATGGGCTCGTCGAGGCTCCTTCCGTCCAAGAGCTCTAAGCTGAGCCAAGACGCTGGAGTTCGATCTGCGGCCTAGGATGGTGTGGAAGTTTCGTGCTTCACGCACCCTGGAGTTCGACTTGAACACTCGCCGTCTTGCCCCAGGAAGAAGGTCTGCTGGCTCTTAGGTCAGATCTTGCCAGACTCATGAGTGAGATGGGAGATCTTCCCGAGGAGGGCTTCTGTTCATCAAGTCTGGCCCTTCATCAAGCGCAGATGGAACTTTATTTATCTATCAGGGCGATTCCTAAAAAATACACAATCAAATTCCGGATGATTTCCGGAGTGTTGCCTGTTTTCGGGTTGTAATCATCATCAATCTTTCCGGACTTGTCTGTTTTTGTTTCTTTGTTAGGTGGATTCTTGAGGTTTCCCTGCAACAAGTCCACAAACACCCGGCATTCTGCGGGCTTTTCGGAGTCTTGGTCACCCCTTTAACGGATTCACAGCTTCATCCACCCGAGGTCACTGCCGCCTCGCGGCCGGGCACAAGCGCCTCAGGCGGGAGAGAGGGCCGTGGCAAGGGACCAGTGTTGTTCTCTGAGGGACCCCCTGTGTTGTTTTTTGTTTCATTTTTTTCGGTTTTTGTTTTTTGTTTTTCTCCTAGTGTTGGTGTTGTTTTGGTAGTTTGTGGTTTTCCCTTTGTGTGTGTGTTTTTCCAGTTTTTTTGCCCCAACAGCTGCTGAAAGCTTCGGGGTCTCAGCCCAGATAGGTTCCGGGGTGGTCCGGGGCGGCCCTGAGGTAAGGTTCCACGAGGGTTCCACAAGGGTTCCACGAGGGTTCCACCAGGGTTCCACCAGGGTTCTCCACGAGGGTTCCGCGAGGTTCTGCGAGGGCTGCGGGGTGGTGCGAGCACCAAAAGAGCACCGCACGCTGTTGGGGATATCGCCTGAGCTTTGTTTTTCTCAGATTGTTTTTTTTTCTCCCCCGGAGGAAAGCTAAACCATTGCGATCGCGCCGTTTTGTGGGCCCCCCCCCAAAAAAAGACCCCGGCCGCCCCCCAACGATATGTTGTTGTGCATTTCTGGGGTTGCAGTGTTGTCATTGTTTTGTTTCTAGGCCATTGTGTTCCTAGAGACTCGGTTGAAGATTAGCTGGGTATTTGGGGAAGTGTTTTTGGAGTCCCAGTGTTTCCTTCTGAAGTCCGAGCGTAACAAACCACGAGGTATGCTTCCTTAAGTCCTTTGGGCGCCTTTAAGATCGAAACCATTGCCTTATCTTCCCTTCCAAAAACGGGGTGGGTGCGTCTTTTGAAAGGTAGGAAATCTCGAAATGTCATGGACACCTGCTTTTGCTTGAGGTTCCATGTCCCAAACGCCAGTAAACCGAAGTTGGCATCGGCAAGTTAGGTTGCCCGAAAGGAGGGGCGCGAACACTTCAGACTGCACCTTTTTTCACAGGCAGCCTCAAACTGTGCCGGAACCTTTTCCTTGCGTCTCCCGCAAATTAACATGGAGCCAAACAAACCACCTTCTGAGGAAATGGCATGCACAAACCGCAAGCCCTTCGTGGAGGAACTGGCCTTTGAAGGGCAAGTTGGGGGGGGGGAATACCAATTATGTGCAAGCCTATAAGAACGGTTTTTCATGTTTTTCTCCACGGGTTTCCCACGGTTTTCATTGTTTGTTCCACGAGATTCCCACGGTTTTCCATTTTTTTCACGGGTTTCCCACGGTTTTTCATCTAAAAAAAAAAAACAGGTTTCCCACGGTGGTTCATGTTTTTTTCACGGGTTTCCCACGGTTTTTCATTTTTTTGTTTTCACGGGTTTCCCACGTTTTTTTTGTTTGTTTTGTGTTTGTTCATGGGTTTCGCCTTGCAGATTGATACTAATCCAAAGTTTGAGGTTGCATACGGGGGTCGATCAATACTCCTGGCCCCCAAACGACAATGGGTCCCATTTAGTGGGACATAATTATCCTTTCACCGGTTTTGCCCAATCGACACCCATGTAAAGGACCTTTTGATCAACCCCATGTGTGAGAGCGAGTGGTGGGGTGATATAAGAACAAGAAAAAAACACACGGGTGTTTTTTGCAGTGTTTGTAAAATTACACTGGAGATATTGTTTTGGGGGTTCCATTTGGTGAAAAAGCCTCAGGCTCCCCAGCCATGACCTCGTCAGGCGCCCGCCCCGTGTCCCGGCAGTCGGGCAACTCACGACGCCCGGGCCCAGCACGGGGCCTCAGGTTTGGGAAGGTTGGGCTTCGACGTGCCGACCTGTTCGTGGTTCACATCTTCGGGCCAAAAAGGATTTAAAGAAAGGATGCGGCAAGTCAGAGAGCCTTCCAGATCGGCTGCGGACCATGGGAACGAAGGGACGAAACCACGCCTTCAACGAAGCTTAGCGCAAAGAATAAGGCGACCTGAAAGATGAAGGCGAACCCTTTGGAAGGAGAAACCTGCATCAAGTCAAATTTGTCTCGTTTGTCAGTCTGACCCAAACCCGGCGGAGTGAGCGCTGAATGCCTTGGGATGTGCATCCGCGGGGCAGCATCCTGTGAAGCACACCGAAGCCTTGACTCAGCAGATGCTTCCGGCACTATGCACTCCGCCTTTTGCGGGAAAGGTAGAATGAAGGCCAAAAGCAAGAAAAAGCGGTTGGAAAAGCAGGGCCTTGGTCATACCAGCAGTTTATGGTCCATTTGGGAGGGGTGTGGGGGAGCCTGACTAGATGTCCAACCACAAACCAGGAGAGGGAACCCTGATGTCCTCTGGGAAGCAAGTAATCTTGACTGTGCCTCACAGAGCCTCGGAGCTAGGGGTTGCTTGCAGGGATACCAGAGTTGGCAGCCAACGGCGTTTCAGTTTGAGCGGCTTACTTGTAGTAGGGGGGCCCTACTGTGGATAGAAGAACTCCTGCACCACTCAAGAAACCCTATGATGATTCCCCTGCAAATACCAACAACAATGGTATGGAATGCTCTATTTATGTCCAGGTACCGAACAGAAACAAGGGGTTGAAACAGGAAGTGGGGTTGATCTTGGAGTTGTTCAGGGTGTTGGTGCAAGGGAACTGCCAGGTATTTGCTGCTTGGGGATACAGCTGAGGTAGAACATTTTGAGGGTTTTTGAACCGCCACGGCAGTGTTGCGACGGCATGGTCGAGATCATCCTGATTCTAGATAGATCTCGGCCGCTAGAGTTAACCTTCAGCAATTGACCTGTTTTAGGCTGAACACTGTTACAACTTGACCACTTTTGCGTGTTTTCACCGCTGCTACCCGCTGAGGGCTTGTTTACTTTTCGCGCTTGTCGTCACCCAGAGGCGGCGCCGTTTGACAGCGACCTTTGTTGATCCGGCCGTTTTATGTATTTGAAGCGGCTCGGAGCCATTTTGAATATGAAAGCACTTGATTCCTCCGACCGAAGCGTTTGATGTTTTGGAGATTCTGGAAATTCCGCCCTGGCGCTGGTGAATCTCGCATTCCACGCTGGAGGAGACAGTCTCCAACATGTTGTGTTTTTTTTGGCTCTAAGCATGAAGCAGAATCTGATCGCCGTACTGTGGATGGACGAAATCCTGCACCACCTCAGAGACCCTGGTTTCAGATGATTCCCCTGTAAAGACCAACAGTTAAAATGGTTTCAACCATGGTTTCCAAGTGGTGCGAAATGGATTTTGTCCATCCACAGTATTTCTGGTCGCCAGAGTTGGGCCAAGCCACCGAGGTCCTGCCAGAGCGCTGGACGCAGGACAGGATGACGGGACGGTGAAAAGGCAAAAGGTCCGTTCGGTGCGGGGTTCGATACGTGTCTTTGGGGGCTATGATGTTTTTCTGTTGGTTTTTTTGATGGGAAGGGGGGGGGGGAAATTATGTTGCTTTTGTTTCGTTTGTTGGTGTTTTGGTGGTAGGGGGTTAAAAGGACAAATCCATCCACTTTATGGTTCCGGCCCCATGTTGAGGCCTCCATTTGGGTCTGTGTTTTTTTTGAGGGTATCCTTTTTGGGGTTGGTTTAAAGGGAAGCCAAAAGGAACCCAGCCATTTATGAGGGTCCCCCTATTTTAATACTGTGGATGGACAAAGCCCTGCGCCACTTGGAAACAATGGGAAACCATTGATTGTCAGTATTTACAGGGGAATCATCTGAAACCAGGGTCTCTGAGTTGCAGTGCCTTGAACAGTGCGCGCAAACGGCGGTTGCTGCATATTTGCGTCATCTCCCGGCTAGCTCCCACGACACGTCGCGGGAAGCGCTCCAGGAGCATGCACAAATCCATGAGGTGCATGGGGGATCAGGATCGGGGTTTTATGTCTTGACCATCTGAGGGGTTCCCCTTGTAATGTTGACCCCGGATTAATAAACCCCTGTTTATGAATATGGGGGTGTCCCTGGTTTTAGTGGGGATTTCTCACTTTTGGAGGGGAACGCCCCCATACTGTGGATGGACAAAATCCATTTCGCACCACTTGGAAACCATGGTTGAAACCATTATTTGTTGGTATTTGCAGGGCAATCATCTGAAACTAGGGTCTCTGAGCCCATATTGATAAACAGGGGTTTGTTAATCCGGGGTCAAGGCATCCTCTGCTGGCAAAGCAGATGCTGGCGAGCACCTGGCGAAGCTTCAGGCGTCGACCCGCTAAGAAAAAAGAGGGCGCTAGCTGCTGAGCCGAAGATGGCACCTGCTAGGCCAAGCCAGAGCCGCGTGCTCGAAACTGATTCGGAGGTTATGGGCGGCTATCAAGCAGCTCTTCGACTCCGTGGAGGCCAAGCAGTACAAACGCCCGTGGTGGTTGCAATGTCATCTAATTAATTGTTGTGTGTGGAGGGGGCTGCTTTTTCCATTTACCATAATTTGGGTATGTTTGGGTTTGTGATTTGGATCAACAGCACCCCAGTCAACTTGGTGGCTCCCAGCCATCCGGTGTTGTAGCTGTTTAGTTGGTTTGCCAAATTTAACCCACTAAAAGGTTAGTCACTTTTTGCAGGGGATCTGAGGACACGGACATGCGAAATGCAACATGTGAGGACCAGCCTTTTTAGTTTTTGTGTTCTCGTTGTTGTTTTGGGGATGCGCGACCCCCCCCCCCCCCCGGTTGTTGGCCTCGTGGTGAGCCACATGCCTTTTGTTCTGCCGCACAAGGATCTCCCTTTTAAGCTCGCCAGTTTTAGCCCCATCCCCTTAGCTTTTGGATCTTTTCAGTTGATCTAGTGCTTGGTTTCCCAATTTCACCCCACAAAACGTTTCACATGTTCAGGCCGGGGATCTTCAAACGGACACGGACAGCGCAGACCGCAGGAGATGCTTTGGGGCCTCCTCGCGCGGCTCTCCGACTTAGAGCCCAGCGGCATCTGCCAGCCCCAGCTTCTGCGCCAGGCCGGTGTCGGAGTTTTCCCTCGGGTCGAGGCGTCCTGAAAAATGCCACGGGCTATAAAGAAAACCACGGAGCCGCGGCTTTTTGGGTTTGAGGTGGTTGAAGGCGGTTTTTGGTTGATGTTTGTTGTTTGTTGGCTCGTCGATTTGTTCCCCCTTTTTTTCCCCCTGCCGTCATGTTTCGAGATGTTTGGGATATGCTGAACGGTGATGCGGTTTTGTTGGAAGCCATGTTGAAGGGATTTGAGGTTGATGCTCTTTGTGTTAGATCCCATGTTTAAAGATTTCTGGGTTGGTGTTGTGTTCCAGGGTGTGTTGGGCTCGTGTAGTTGGAACTCATGCTTACTTAGTGTTTGTTGGGTTTATGCTGTTTGCTCATGTCAAAGGGTGTCTGGTGTTGACTTGTTTTGTTGAAACCCATGTTTGTGGGGGTGTTTGGCTGTCGCTTCTTTGCGGAACCCAAAAGTGTCCCTCATCTTATGAAACGTCCAGGGTGTTTGATTCCAAGATCCGAACCACTTCAAGCTGCCGTAGATTCAATGTGGGACGTGTTCATGAAACAGAGGTCTAGTTTGCCTTTGAACATCCAAAAGAGGCCCCCAGTTGCCGCTTGTTTTGGCCTGGGTTCGATCAAAGCAAAACGGACAAACGCGGGACGGCCACAACGAGCAAGACTTTTGTGAGGGAACCATTAGCATTTGCGTGCCTTGGCACATCACTGGCGTTTCGCGCAACTCCAGAGACCCCGGGCATTCAATGATGCGCGACTTTTGCCCACCATGTCTTTCCCCCCGCTTTGGCATTCACATGGCTTCAGTGGGAGCCAGCGACTGTTTGGCTGATCCTTCTCAGCTTGGCCTTCGGTGTGTGACTTTGCGCGCTGGCCTTCTTGGTTGGCGCCATCCCGATGCACCGTCAAACTACCTCTTTTTGGCTTCCGTTGCAAGAGTTGTGTTTGGGCAGGTGTTTTTGTTCTCCCCATGTCGCAACCTTGGGATAGCCCATGGGGTCGGTCCTCACCTTTTTTATGCGGTCTTAAGGGTTTAGCTCCGCTGACCCATTGCGACTTCGTAAAAGTTCGGAAAGTTTTGACCACGCACGTGTCCAGAAACCAAGGCAACGTCCAAGTGCTCTTTGCTGTTTCGGGGCAGGCCACAAAGCATTCTCCCGAGGAAATCATCCATTTGGGGACCCTTCGATTCAACTACAACTATACGAATCTGAATCAAACTGTTTTTTTAAGTAGCCAACAGCTTTGTTCGGCTTATTTAGGCCTTGCGACTTCCCTGCATCCTTCTTTCTCTCCCACAATTGAGGGAGAGAGAGGAAACATGCCACAAGGACAGGACCAAAACACACACACTTTTAGCTTGGTTGTAGCTTCTCAGAACTCAAAATTGTTTGGACCTTTTCCAAGGGCATGAATGGGTGTTTCTCAGAATAGGGAGCTAATTTTGAGCAACACCCATACATCATACGCATCATACATGTATGGACTTCGTCCATCCGTATGTTGACTTCGCTGTTCTTGGATCATGTTTTCTGGTTTTTTGTTTTTTGGTTCTGTTCGTTTTTACTGGGGTCTGCAAAAACTTTATGTTTTTTGCTACCCTACCAAGAGTAGAGATGTTGATACAAGCCCATGTAGTGTATATGTTTGTTCCCCGGAAGTCGAAGCTAGGTGCTGCTGGAGCGGCGGCATGCAGCACTTGGCTTCGAGAACGAGCAGGCCGAAGCGGGTTCGACGCTTTCATAACTGAAGAATAAGGGGGCCTCGTTTTTCCCCAGAGAGCTGAAAGCTATAGGGGTTCTAACTTCTAGTAAAGAGGGGAAAGTGATTTGCGAGATTGATGGGCTGGTCTTTTTTTTAGTAATCGGACCCCTATAAATTGCGGGCAGGGGGTTTTGACCGTTTTTTTCCCCAAGCCCCAGAACAGGCGACACCCATTTGTTTTGAAGCTGTTGGTTTTACAGGGAATCTACCACTACTGGAGAAGAAGTCAACGCAACTTTCCAGGGGACTTGACAAGATGGAGGATGCCAAAGCGTCGGCTCCAAGAGTCCTCTGTGAGATCGAAGTGGGTGCCCAGAACCGATTTCTGGCCATGTTAGTGGGTGTTTCTACCTGGTTTCATGGAGGTTTTGGGCGCCCACTTGGTCTCGGGAACCTTGAGACTGTCCCCAAAAGAGCCAATGAGCACTTGAAAAGCTTCCATTTGCTGAACGTGTTTGCCCCCCCTTGGTTTAAGGGGAATCGATACTGGAAATACGCTCTCATTTTTTTTCCAGGGGCCAAACAGGTAGAGGAAAGGCGGTCTGACAAGGGTTTGGTGCGCGTTGGTTGGGTTACCTGGCCGGGCAGATTTCAACGAGAGAAGACACAGTTCAGATGCCGCCCACGAGGACAAGTTTGTGTTTCGCCGCCCACAAATGTGCCACGTCCTCAAAACTCGGGTAAGTGTAAGTTAGTTTAACAGACAGTCCCAGCGAGAATTGGGTGTGGCCACCTTTGAAATCCTGTACTTGGCTTTTGGCTGGTGATTCTGTTATGTCAAGTGTTGACTGTGACTGAAATGGTCTCGGCACCGTTGTCGAACAGGGAGAAGGTGAGACGGCGATTGTGCAAGATCCGCAACTGCACGGGCTCTTCAAAACTTGGACGGCTCATAAAGCTATCGGCACAGAGAGACAGAGAGAAAAGCAAAAAGCGGGCGTGACTGGTTGGGCCTTAGTTAGGCCTTTGACACCAAATTCATGCAGTTGGGGTGGGCAAAATGTGTTGAACATCCAGACACCCCTTTTTGCAAGGCAAAGCAAAGGGTGGGTTGAACAATGGTGGTTTAAATATAGGTTTGGCCCAGGCAGTCAGTCCCTGGTTGTATATCGGAAAGTGGAGAAGGGCAACCTAAATCGGACACACAGATAAGCATTGAAAATTGGATAGAGATAGACAGGGGGAAGCTAATGGTCCGGATTGATCGATGGCCGTTCAGTGGAGATGATGACATGTTTGCACTGTCGCCAATTCCTGTAGCTATCTGCCTTCACGGGCTGCCCTCTGGAATCTGGAATCGGGGTCACTCATAATTTATGCCTATGCGGCATTCCAGTTCTACAATAAGTTTGGCCCATCCTTCTTTCTCAGCATGTATACCAGCTTCTGTGACGAGCGATTGGGAGCATCTTGAAAATTGGCAAAGGAGAGCGCAGTGGTGCACCCGAACCCTCGGTACCAAGCAGGGTCGCCGTCACACGGGAGGCTGCCAAAGAGAGCTGAGGTGAAAGGGCAAGCTACGTTGGGTTGAACATGTTTATATAGGTGGTTGACCCACGGCCACGTTTGTGAATTCAAAAGACGGAAAGCTTTCTCGGTGTCAGTGATAGTTATAGTGGGAGTTGCGACGATCCTCGGCTGGCTCGAAAGGGTGTCATGACTGGTCATCTTAACGTAATTTCCCTGTCGCATTCAATCGGGCATGGTCATGACTGGTAAATCTGATGTTTCTTTGGTGACACCTGAAGCAGATTGAAGCGGTTGATCAACATATGGGTGCGTTTTTTTTAAAGGGCCACCCGGCCAACATGGATTTGGCTTTTCCTTTTGGTTTCCCTTAAAAGAACCCCCCAAGATTCCCTGTCGGGACGGAATCCCGGTCATGCTGGTTGCATTTGATCGCAGCAGAGCTCTCTGTTGGATGTGGATTCTGGGCTGGGGGGGTGGGGGTGTCTGTGGTCTGGGAGCTGAAAGCTCTTGAGGTTGAACCCAACCACAAGAACCCTGCAAGGGAGGGCCAAAGAAGCCCAAGATAAGATAACCCAAACCAAGCATCACGCAGATTTCGTCCCCAAAATTCGAACAACGGGCATAGGCGTTCTTTTTAGGTTAGTTTGGTTAGAAATAGATGGGTTAAGCTGGTTTAGATTGGCTTTGTTCCATTTATCTGGGCCATCTATTTTAAGCTATGTCCAAGGGTCGTGACTGGTAAATCTGTTGGTGGTGCTGGCACCCAGAACCACAAAGATTTAACTTCAGTCTTCCACCCAAATTCCAGAGACACGCACCAGAACCCACCCACTAGACCTTCCTCTTGGTTGAAGATCTATCCTGCCAGGTGTTGCCGGTGTCTTGGGTCCAGCGCCCGCTGGTCCGGGGCCCAAGTTGGCCAAAACCGGCGGGGGGTGGAAAACCAAAACCGGCGTCTGCTTGGTGGCTCCCTTGTCTGCCGGTGCCTTAGAATCTAAGGTCCTCAGGGTTTTAGTTTGTTTAGTGGTTGGTTCCTTAGCGTTTCAGATCTTAGTGTAGTGGTTGGCTGTCCGAATTTAACTCTCAAAGGTAGTCACTTTGAGCAGGGGATTTGAAAAACGGACAGCCCAGTCTATCTAAAGGGGACTGCCAAGATGAGGAAATGCTTTTTTTTGGAGCCAAATGTTGGGCTTTCAAATGGAAGTAAAACTTGTCCCTCCTCAAACAAATGCATGAACCCACGCTTGAGAAGGCGATGGTTGGCTCGCCTCCTGCCTTATTTATGAGGCAGGGGAGGTAGTAGAGCCCAGGATTGCTCCTTTTGGGAATGAACCACCCCTGGGTTTAAGTCTACACTTGGGCAGTCAAAAAGTAGAACCCTGGTAGAGCCGACTTTCCCTCTCGCTCGTGGTCTTCGCTTGTGCGAGCCCTGTTTGCCGCTTGGCTGCTGTGTGAGGGTATCTCAAGACCAGAGCAAACTGCGTGTTCAACAAAAGAAACGAATCCGGCATGCAGGCGCGGGATTCCGGAAACATCATTTGAGGCAGTTGACGCATTGGTCACGGCTTTCCTGGCACCACAATGAAGCACGGCGCCGCGTGTCGCGAAGGTCGCATGGGGTCTCCCGTTGACAACTTGTGCCATCCAAGCTCAAACTACCGTTGGGCTTAGGGTGGTCATGGACCCCACAGGAATTTAGACAGCCGGAAGGGTACTGAAGCCATGGCCGGGACCCCAACATTTTTGAGACATGCTTCCAGTACTTCCCAGAAGATGCGGGACTCTTTTTCAATAGAGCGATCCCAAGAGCGAGTGGTGTTCTCCGACTGGTTTCCCTTCAACACCCCGAAACGGGTACCCTCAAAAACGACCCCTGCGCAGTCCCAACCTCAACAGATGGCATCTCCAGAGTTGCCAGCCCAAGGTTGCGAGGAAAGCTTCTCGGCAGCCCCTGAACCGTTTGGACGTTTTAAAAGGGCAACCAACTGTTTGTGGTGAGCGTCCATTTGTTTTCACTTGGATTCTCTTGCATAATTGGGCCACTCCTTTTCATCCGGGGCGGGGTTGGACAGATGAATGGAAAATACAACGAGTCTCTGAAAGCTGATATGGAACTCCAAACCGCCGGCCTGTAGAGGAAACTGTTTTTAGGATCAAACTCAAACCTTCGAGTTCGGCGCTTGTCGAGGGTGGCTCACCTTTTTTGTTTGTGCCGCTCCAGGCGTTGGTTTTGGCGATCAGCCCGGAAAGGAATTGACAGGGGGGGTCCTGTATGCCCTGATGCTTTTATTCATGATAGTGGCACGCAAGTATGGGAAGCACACTCGCAACTGGTACTGGTACAGCGGATTCCCCAAATATAACGTCTAGGGAACCAACTTGAAAATCGACGTTCAGCCACCCATGTTTTCCCTTTTGGCGATCTTGACCATGATGTCCAACTTGTTCTCCTACTTGCTTCTATCAAGTTGGCATCCACTGGAATGATGTGGCATTCGTCATTTGGGAGAGAGTGTTCCGCTCAACTTGTACCCTGCAAACCCACAAGGTTCCATCCAAAAAGCGCGGTGAGAGGAATTTCCTTGACCCCTCTCATGGGTTGACCCCTCTCATGGGTCGACCCCTATGGGTCGACCCCTCTCATTGATGTTCCATGGGATTCCTTGGGCCACGTCCATGGCCTCGGTTTCAGGTGGTCTACCACCTGCTTTGCCGGACCATGCTGGAGCCGGCTGGGGCCTCAAGAAGCTCTTGGTGTCAGGATTTCGACATGGTGGCTCGTCTTTTTTTCAGCTCGGTACCCTTTGTTTTGTGGTTTTAAGGGCAAACCAAAAGGAACGCCAAAATGCATTTTGGGGATGCCTCAAAAAAGGCACTCCCATGTATGGCCCATATAGCAGTGATGGCAGAAAATGCGTTGACCCTCGATGAATCACATCGGATACATTGTTTTTCCCCCCCCCCCCCTGCAAAGTGAAAGTTGCCATCCCAAAGGGACCCCCCGAAAAAAAGAGAAAAGAAAAGGAAAAACAGGTTCATTGGTCCTAGTTCGATTTCGGCAACAAGTTGGCCAGCATTTGCCCTTGCTGCCATGTGACCTGACAAGGAATGAGACCCCCCGAGAGTAGTCGTCTCCGAACTTCACCTGGCACTTCCCCGGTTTTTGGAAGACCCAGGTAGAGTTTAAGACCAGTTTGCATAGGTGTCCTTAGGTTATTTTGGTTAGAAATCGCTGGGTTCCAAAGGTTTAGCTGGGTCGTATTCCATTTTCATCGGAAAAAAAAAGCCCTCCAAATTTTCCCACAAAGGAGCCCTCATTCCATCAAGGGAAACCCCTCGAAATTTTCCCACACAGGAGCCCGATCCCAGTTTCTTTGTGTCGGGGGCTTTGCTTGAACGGATCGGTCTGTCTCCAAGGCTTGGGGTGCCGCGGGAGTGGATGTCACCGAGTTCCTCCTGGCCCGGGGCCTACGGCTTGGCGGAGAGCTGCGCAGAGGGTCGGGTGAAGCCCAACATGAAGGCCACAGAAACAAAGCATAGGAACGCCAAAACGCCCAAAGGTGTTGCAACCACTTTTTTGTTTTCTGGAGGCAAAGTGCTTGGAAGAGAGAGCTCTATGGAAATGGGGACAGCTGAACATGATGGTTTGCGACGCGACCAGCTGATGATTTCGGGGATCCGACCATTGCCGTTCTATGGCAAGGCTTTTGGAGACTGCTTGGAATGGCATGGCGCATGTTTGTTCCACTCGCAAAAAGTTTGATCCTTCCACTTGCAAAGTTTCCATTTTGGCTGTCTATTCTTGAGCCACGGACCCATGTGCTTACCATCACAGGGCTCTGAAGGAACTTGGGACCCGCGCGCATCCGTAAAACATCGGGGTCCCTCAAGTGGAAAGCCAACGGAATTGAGGAAAACTTGGGGTGAGCCCTGGAGGCTCGATGTGGACCAAACATCCACGCAGATGGGCTTCGTGGTTTACCCAGCATGTACAGGGTTTCATCCATCCCAGCCAGTGCGGGATTTTGCCACACGTTCCTCTTTGGTCGATTTTGGTCTTTCCAAATGAACCAATTGCTCAGGGCGCTTTTTCGCTCTACCGATCTGACAGGTCCAAGAAATGCGACTCGTTTCCTGAGGACGTTTTGTTCCTGTTGGTTTTAAAGGGGCATGGTCATGCTTTGTTTGGTTTAATGGAACATCCTTATGCTTCCCGTTTCTTCTGTGATCCCGGTAATTATGGCTCCTATTGCTTTTCTGTTTGTTTATTTCTCGGAAGAGCAAATGAGCAGAGGACGGCGGTTCCACAACTCAAGGAGCGAACAAACAAGTGGGAAGTTTCCAGGTAATTCGGTAGCTTCACAGGGAAGAGGTGATGAGTTGTCCATAAAGTTGGTGGGCTGCCAAAGGGAAATGGGCTGCCAGGAAATATTTGTCCGTGGCACATGAAGTTTCTGGCCTCTGATGCACAGACTGGCAAGTGTTTGGCGCTGAAAGGTATTGGATATGTCTTGTTTTAGGGGAACACCTTTTAGGGGTGGTTTAAAAGGTAAACCAAAAGGAAAGCAGCCAGTTTGGGGGTTCTCCAAATTGGAGACAACCCCAAATCCAGATTATTCATGACCTTGACTTGAGCTTCGGCATGCGCCGGGCCGCTGCAGCCTACAGGCCCGCGGCGATACGTCGTCGGAAGCCGTGGGCGCGCAAAGGCGCAAGGTGGAGGCAACATTTACAGCGCACGCCCGTGACTGGCGCACTGCGGCGATGCTTTTGTTCAGATAGAACATTCTTGGTACAACTGATGTTCGGAGTCGAGGTGTATAGCATCATCTTTCACCAGCAACCACTTCTGACAGCAGAACGAGGGACGTCTGACACGAACTTCAAACGAGCGAATTGCAGCGAAGCATGGCACAGCTGGACGACCTGTTCGAGGCACGCTGGCGGGAAGGGGCCGGGTCCAAACAGCTGAGCGGAAAGCGTCACAAGAGCTTCCATCCCAACAGTTGAGGTGCGGAAGGCACTCGGCCATGTGAATTTGTAAACATTCTGTGGGACTGACGATTGAATGTTTAATACCAGCTAGTATGTTGTTTTGAAAAGCGAGCCGGACCGCGCATGACGGTTCCCGGTGGCTCCAGTCATGCAACACAACCGCGTAAACAACTAGTAAACAAAGTATTAGTTGTTTGCCTTTTCTTTAACCTGAAAACCTGGTAGATGTTTCGGTTACTGGAAGCTGGCTTGCTTGAATCTGGGGGAGCTTGCCGGCAACCCGCTTTGCCAGATGGAGGAAGGATGCAAGAGCGCCACCTTCGTCCTCGAGGACGGCCTGAGCGAAGAGGACAAGAAGCGACTGGCTTCAGGCCGGATGGTCCAGCGTTGTTGTTTTTGCTGGCCTGGGAAATTTAAGGTTGACCCAGGATTAATAAACCCGTCTTTTTTTTGTTTTCCGGGTGGGTGAACAACCTTGCACCTGCCCAAAGCACTTCGTAAAAGTCACTCATCAAGATGTTTTTTTGTTTTTGTCATAACAGTAAAGGGGATGACATTGGGCACAGTTATTGTTAACCCAGGATTCATAAACCCGTCCCTTTTTTTTTGGCGGGGGGTGTTCTGTCCAAAAGTGGTTTGAATCCCCACTAAAAGGGGACACCCCCCTATTAATCAACCAGGGGTTTATTAATCCGGGGTTAACATTTTGGGGTATCCCTTTCAAACGCATGGGTCCAAAATGTGTCTTGTTGCGGGAACCATCAAAATGGCGGGTATCCCTTTCAAACAATTAAAACCGAGAATACACCTTGTCAGACAGCTACAAATAGTTTACCCCTACGGTGGTTGGACGAAATCCTTCACCACATAAGACACCCTGGAATGATGATTCCACATTTAGATATCAACAAACAATTGTTTCCCAGAGTTTCAAAGTGGTGCGAACGGATTTTGTCCATCCACAGTATCATCACTGGATTTGGATTGCAAGCACCCCAGAACCCGGTTCTGATTATTTAGGCCCTTATATGACAAGTTTTTGTTTTGGCAAAGGTATGCTAACGGTGCAGGCGTGATTCCATTTCCCGCTGCACACGATGCTACATTGAGAAATTGGATTGGCAAAACAACGTGCCCGAATTCTGAGCCTTTGCCTGATTTGAAGTCTTTGCGGGGCTTGCATTGCATGCTTCGCAAACACACGAGCGCATCGCAAACCATATCAAAGGGCACATCATGAAGGTCGGTGCCAGAAGTTAAAAAACTACGTCCGCCTTCATATCAAGGAAGCACGGTCCCTCCTCATTGCCAGACTTTGAGCCGAAGCACGCGCTTGAAAGTAAGACGCGTGGCTTGGAAATTGCTTTGATTTGTCCGGGGTTTTCCAACCCCAAGCCTTTTGTTTGATCTAACTGGAACCTCAGCAGCTGGGAACTATGTGTGGCTTTCTGGCCCGAGCTGTTGGGGATTCCAGCAGGTTGGTGGTTTCCTTTTGGTTTCTGCTGTAGAGCATCCAGAAAGGGGTCCCCTGCTTTGAGAGACAGGCCCATCATGAAGCCCCAAGGAAATTGCAAGGACACCAAGGTAGCCAATCTTTTGTGCACGCTCCCCCCCCACCCACCTCACCTGGGCGGGTCAAATCCGCGCGTTCAGAGGCCTTGCGGAGGCGCGTCAGCTGATGCGGGAGGACAACCTCAGCTTTGATGAGGCGGCGAAAATGACGCCGGGTCAAAAGATGGGTGGTGGTGAGGGTTTGATTTTTTTCAGGTTTGCTGAAAAAGGGACATCAAAAGGAAGGTCACGATGTGTTTTGTCTCCCCCAACTTTGGCACAAACCCACATGAAGCCCAAAAAGCAAAAGGCTCCCCCCAAAGCAGATTGGTTTCCATGTTAAAGTTGCAGGGGAGTTACCTCGGTTGCTTTTTAAACACTAAGCAACAAGGGGCCCCCAAGAAAACGGGGTCCCTGAGTAAACACCCATTCTACCTTGCCGATTGTTCTGAGGAATCCGATTGGGAGGCAAAACGAGCTCATCATGAGGTCTTCTACCTGGAGATCTCTTATGTTCAGAATTTTGGAACTGCTTTGTATTTGCAAATCGGTTCAAGAACCTTTTTTGGGTTTCCCTCAGGAGGCCGGCACGAGTCGTGTTTACTATCCGGGTCCCAATATGCAGAGTGGGGCTGCGGGTAAGGAGCCAAGGACTTGTTTGCCTCAAAACTAGTTGAACTCCATGCCTTCGCTTTTTGTTTGGAGTTTTCCCTCGTAAACGAGTCTAAAAGAAATATTCCAGCATTAGCCCATAGGATGACAGGGGACCACCCAAGACAGATGAATGGCAAGCTGCAGAGGCCCACCGAAGCAACTTGGCCGTTGCTCATTTGGATACCGACAATAATAGTGAGACTTGGCAAACGTGCAACCACCTTGGGTCTGGGGTATCTATCCATTTGTCAAAGATCTCAGTGCTCTTTTCTTTTGAATCTTTGAAGTGGTTCCCCTTGAAATGCCACCCCTTTTAAAGTCCACCACCAGCAAAATGGGTACCGTGAATCAAGCCTTCAACAGATGATGAAATCAGAATGGTAGAAAATGGGGGGGGTCATTGTTGCATGATACCTCTTTGGGGTTTGCTCAGGGCAACCAAAGGGAATCTATTCTCTTGGGTGTGTTCCCCCCCCGATCATTTGAGACCCGCACAAATTGGGAAACCCGGAAATCCAGTTGAAGGTGAGCAACCCTGTCGGTTGCACCCGCTAGTTTGGAGGGGGGGGTCGGCTTTCATGGCAATGAAACAAACAAAACAGTTTTTTTTTTTTTTTTTTCCGGGGCTCTTGAGTTTGTCAAAGAGTTGCGGAGGGTTCCATGGGGGTTCCAGGGCTGTTGGGGATACCACCTGGGTGTATTTTCCTTGGGGGCCTGGTGTTGAGAAGAAACCTTGAGCGCCCAACAAGCGGCTTTTTCAGCTTTTCCCACTGGTGGATTGCTGTTTGGGGGGTGTCAACCGCTGGTTCCGGTAGCCCAAACCAGCAGTCTGAGGGAAGCTGAGTGGGTTCCCTCAAGCGCAGGCGCGGCTCAAGCTGGTGGCGAAGCAGATGATGCCGCCCTTGCTGGGTTCGGGATTCGGGACCCCATTTCTGTATTGTTATTATTAGTTTCACTAACTAGCAGCAGAAGTAGTAGTAGCAGCAGCAGTAGTAGTAGGAGGAGGGGGAGGTGGTGTAGTAGTAGTAGTAGTAGTAGTAGTAGTAGTAGTAGTAGTAGTAGTAGTAGTAGTAGTAGTAGTAGTAGTAGTAGCAGTGGTGGTGGTGGTGGTGGTGGTGGTGGTGGTGGTGGTGGTGGTGGTGGTGGTAGAAGTAGTAGCACTAGGAGTAATTAGTCTCATTATGTTTTGTATGGACGAATCTGTTTTACTATTTTTCGAAGCAGAATTATAATAAACACGTTTGCGTGGCAGAATTCAA